TGTGTTTGTACATGTCTCTTTTTCCTTTTGTTTTCCTTTTCTTCGATGCTAGGATCCTTTCTCCATGATTCTCGTCCCTCTCCCATCGTAAATAGATAGTGGGTGCTCCACGTCTGAAGCAGTTTCTGGCAACTAACAGTTGTAATCCAATTTTAATTCTAATAAAACCTTAATAGTAACCTTTTCCTAAAAATATGCAACTTCCTAATTTAAATCAGACTTAATTACTAAGTAGATCACCTTATCATCTACCACGTAAGTTCAGCCCACCATGAATTTTGTTTGGATTGTAAATTTTCAAGCTAGCCCAAACCAATTCATCCTGTTGACTTTCCTTACATGGATCTAATAGTTAGGCCCCAACCTGACACGTGGCTTCATCCCATTGATTTTACTTTAGATGTAAACATGTTCAAAATTCACACATTAATCACATTTTTGTATATTAGGCTTCCTTACCAATTTGCTTACTTCTTCATTTTGCGCGTAAAGTGTTAGAAGAGATGAATTTTCTAATTAAATTATTCTGTGTTGTTTTTTGGTTTTATATATAAATGTCTTTTAGTAAATATCTTTCCATATGTTTGAATTATTGGAATGGGAAAGTATAAGTGATTTAAAAAGTGGATTTCGTGTACATATTTTTTTATTAAAACCATACCTTCTTTGCTATTATAATTAAAGCCATGGAGAAAATTAAAAGCCAATTGTTTGTTAATTAAAGGAATAAGAATGTAGGGATCATCTATTTATTTGTTAAAAAGAATTGCACTAGGTCATTTTCTTCTAGATGTCATGTTAAAATTAATTGACCATTAGGCAAGGGGATGATTTGCATGGTTCCAAGCAGTTAGGGGCTTATATGCATATTTTTTAATTAGAGGGCTTATGTGCTTCTTGGGTTTAGTTTAGGGTCTTAACAAAGAATTTTGCCTAAATGTAAGGTGTGGTTTGCTGTGAGTCTGTGCTATGACATTTTGGTGGGTTTGAATAGGGTCGGGTTCAGGATCTGGATCCGGATCCATTTGCTCGTTTTGGTAAAACAAGATTGAATTTCTTAACCGAGTTAAATTATACGGCAAAACTTACTTTTTTTAGCCTTTTACTTTATTAGTTCGTAAGTTTTAACCTATTATTTTATATTATGACATTTTTAGTCATTCCTCTATTATAATTGAAGAAACTAACCATCATTTTATAATATTTTGTCATTTTTGTTAATTGACTGTTAACTCTATTAACTAATTGTTAACTCTATTAGTTGAAAAATAAGTTTTTGTTAGTTAATAGTCAATTAATAGAGTTAACAGTCAATTTTTACTAGTTAACAATCAACTAATAATCAGCTAATAAAGTTAACAGTCAACTAACAAAACTAAGAAAAAGTTATAAGTGAGGACTATTTTTTTTAATTTTATTAGATGAGGAACTAAAAGTATTATAATATAAAATAAAATGTTAAAATTTACAAATCTAATAAAGTAAAAAATTAAAAATAAGCTTTTCCCTAAATTATATGCTATCTGTTTGATATATCCATTTGATAATAATTGTCCTCTCCCTCAACCCACCCCAGCCTCCTCAACTTTTAAGGTAAAAAGATTTAAAATTTTTTACACTTTGAACTATTACTGCTATCCTTAAATTTTAATTCTTCATTTTCGCGCAAATATTTTATTACTTAATTAATTAAAAGTAATGAAAATGACTTAGATAATATAACTTTTGTAAATAATTTAGTTATATAATTTTATGTATTAGTTAATCAAAAACTATTTATTACTTTAAAATAAAAGAAATAAAATAAAGGATATAATCTATAAAAAATTATTAAAAAATTATTTATTTTAGAGTTAAATCCCAAGTTGTCGGTATCGTTTTGTATCGATTAATATGGTCGATATGTACTAATTTATTCATTGCTTCGAAATAGCATATAATTTAATTTTGTTTCAGTCAAATTTTATCAATTTTAACGTAACGGCCAGTATACGAAAAATCACCAGTGCAAACCAATTCAAATTTTAAAAGGATAAATTTAATTTTTCATCCTCAACTTTAATATTTTGTATAATTTTCATTTTTTAATTTTTTTATATATTTTTTATGATTGTGATTTTTTATTAATTTTTACAAATTTTGTAATTATTAAAAATTAAAATTAAAAATTAAAAAGTTATTTATTAAAATTATTTTTATTTTTATTTCTTCAATAATTATAATAATATATTAAATTTATAATTTAATATATTATTATAATTACATTATTTTTATTAAAACCAAAATAAAAAATTATAACCATATTATAAAATGGAGCTTTATTTTTTTCAACTATTTTCTCTTAACTATTAGAAATTTGCTTAATAAACAATTTTATTAGAAAAACCAAACACATTCAAATAATTTGAAATTTCAAATACATAATCCATGAAAAACATTGAATTCAATTATTTGATTTGACGAATTGATAACGAGTCATTTTAAGAATACGATATAAAAATTATGAGTTATTGTAATTGATGATTTATAATAGAAGAAAAATGGATCTGAGAATTGATTAACAGGAAAAGGAAAAGGAAGAAAACAAGGAAAAAAAAATCAAATGAAGTAGAGATAATAAAAATCTAAACTGAAAATCACGAGTGCGGCTGGGGAGGAAGAGAAGGACTGAGCATCAGTTTTAAAAAGCTCGATTTTGCAGCCTCATGGATTTGTGTCAGATGCAAATACAAAAAAAATACTTTCATCATTTGCTCAGATCCCGTCTTCGCCTCAATTAATCAAACAAAATAAACAATAACAGGCGACTCGAACCCAAAGAAAACAAAGCAAAAGAACAGATTTATTGAATTAAAGAAACTAAACGAAAAAGAAATGATTCATTCCACGAAAAACAGATGAAAGGATTTAGTTGAAGTTCGAAGATGAATGCGGCGTCGCGCAGTTTATATAGAGGCCAGAGGGGAGACGAAACCCTACTCATGAGGGATCCCAAACGGCGTCGTTTTATCACAAACTTCCTAGTTCTTCTTAGGTTTTTTTTTCGGCCTTCCCGAGGCATGTTAGGCCCATCTTCTTTAGTCTGTATCCATTTTATTTTGGGTCAATTTGTATGGCCCAAACATTTGAGGGCTTGTCTTCCTTACCCGAAAGAGATTTTTTGTTTTTTTGAATACGAAAATGAAACTTAAATCTTACACCTCTTATATGTATGAGGATGCCTTTACCAAGACATGATGGGCAATAGGCCACCAAGAACTTCTCTACCTAAAAGAGTTTTTACTTACATGAAAAGGTTCAGAAATTATTTAAGTTTTTATAATATGTGACTTATGGCCTATGATAAAAGTACAATTATTGTAA